CAAAATTCTTTGATGATCCAGTAGTTTTCAATCCCGAAAGGTTTGGAGATGGCCAGTCAATTTCAGACGCTTATATTCAATTTGGTTTAGGTCCTCGAATATGAGCTAGTAAGAAAATTTTCTTAAATAACTCAAAAATGCCATCATTGCATTGAAAAATCGAAAGTGAGAGATAATTAGTGCCTCTCAAGCCAACGAACTTCCGGTTAGTCATCACCACAATCATCATCATTAATTGATTAACCTTGATACATACATACACTGGCGGCAGAAATAATAGACCCTTCGTAATTTGAAGAGTTTTGACTATATTTCTTTAGTTTATTTTATGTTTAATATTTTTTATAAAAGCTTTTTATAAAGCCTAAAAGGACTATTTCTACGATTCGGAGCAAAATAGGGGTGTAGGTTTAAAATCTAAGCCGAAATAGAAAATGTTTGCCTCAATATGCCTTATTTTATATGTCTCCCAGAGAGAGAGAGCAAAACCTTGTGAACTGACGGCAAAAACACAGCGAAATGTGCTGTTGATACAAACTCAACATATGAAAGCACATTTACATGCATGGCTGTAGCTGAGTGTGCGAAGATGCTTGGTACAATTGGTTGCACAAGGCTGTCCTAGTTCAATCCCCATCAGACGGAGCATGAAATTTAAGATTTTTTTTTATCTTAATTATGACGAAATAGAAAAGTGGTTGGTTTTAAAATTTAAACCGAAATGTTTAAATTCTAAACCCAACATATGTGCTCTCTTTTTTTATTAAACTTAGGTTGGTATTTGAATCTAAATTTAGTTTGGTCATATAGTTATGTAGTCCAAAAAGTTTAAAATTAAAACGAAATTTTTAACCGTGTATGTTTAATATTGAGTTTGAGGTGTGCTTATTGAACAAACAACAATCAGCAGTTTATTTCTGACCTTATTTTACAGCTGTTAAAGAATTTAATATTGTACTGTAAAAGTAGATTGATGTTGCCGAAATTTAAATATGCATGTATTTTTTATAGATAGTTATATACATATATATATAAAATTAGAGATACTCTCTCCAGGCCACCATGACTGAGGGTTGGAGATTCGTACTACCACTCCGTAGGAGCTAGGTGCGCTACCTTGTTCCAAGCAAGGCGATGGCAAACCTGCGTGTATATTTCAGCTTTGCAAAAGCTTCATGAAACCCTTTGCCTCTCGGAGGCGGTGTTGAATTGTAGTTCCCTCAATTTTCATTATAGTATTAGGACGCGCATCCTAAAATTGGAGGAGAAGCTCTGTCAAACATTGTAAGCGCCAAAATATTACTATTGTTATTAGACTCTTACTTACCTTTCCTTTTTTCGAGATTAATTCAAATCAAACCAGGTGACATATAACAATTAATAAATTTAATTTTCTATAATTACTGCTTCTGCTTTATAAATTTACAATTTTATATTAAACTACATACCCATGTCACACTTAACATTACTAAGTACTTCAAATTCAGAAATTATTTTTATTCAACTAATAAATATGCATATTATTGGTAAATTAGACCATACCAGAAAAAAAAGTTCGCCATACACCTCTGAGTCTAATGTAATTTGCAAGGCAATTTCTTAAAATTTTATTTTTTTACCCAACGTAAGGGTCCAAGTTTTACATTTTTCGTTATTCAGCATTTACAGTCGGATCTTAAAGTATGATATATCAATGTACAAAGTACCCCGTTCTAGTACTTATTCACCAGATCTCAGCTCATGTCACCCTAGTGTACCACCCCAATGTCAGTAAATTAAAGCTCACCAAAAATTATTAAACTTTTGCTAGGGAAGTATTTTGATTATTTCAGTAGAACTATATAAAAAAAAAATTTGTGGCCAAATGTGTCACCGAAAAATTTTAATTTTTTTTCCAAAGTTGCTTTGTAAAAGTACTTTAGACTCAGGGGTGTAAGGCGAACTTTTTTGTTTACTTGTGAGGTGGCACGGTCTAATGTACATACATATGCATATTTTGACTAACATTCGTTAATTCACTAACTTTTTAAATGTCGATTTTTAAATCTCTGTATGTATGTACTTCACTTACATCTAAAAATACAGCTATTTACTAATCTTGACATGTACAAAAAGATTTAGAATCTATGAGTATGCGAATGTAGTATATGTATGTATTTATGTTTGTATGTAGTACTTAATCAGATATTTTTTTTTTCTGTTTAAAAGAATTATAGTTTTACTACAAAATATGTTTTAAGGATCGTACAAAAATGCGCAACTGTTATTTACTAATTTTGTTTTTGTTTTTACGGAACCACATTTTTAGTTGATTACCAATTCTAATTATTTGTATCTATAGTAATTGTAGAAGTACAGACTGACAGTGAAGAAATGGATTTCTATAATATGTATGTATGTATTTATACCTTCTTGTAATTTCTATTACAATTTGTTGATTACAATTTGTTGATAATATTATATATATATACACATGTGTGCATTAGGGCGCTCCACAAAATAGTAATGTCGAAATTTTAATGCTCCCTCCCTAAAAAAATATACCTACATTTTTTTATTTATTTTGAAATCAAAAATATTTAGAGGTCGCTCGAAGCGCTCAAAGTTTTCCATGTATTTTATAAATGGGGAAAAACTAATTTTTCCTGGAAATGGTATATGATTCTTGAAAATCTATATTTTCAATCGATGAGCTTAGTTCTCTTCAGGAAACTTCCAATTATAATGCCCACTTGTTCATTTTACCGTTTTTTAATACTAGCGATTTTTTATAACCGCACCGAGCCCCCATCCTCTTGCATTTTTTGTGGGACCTTTAAAAAAACAGTTAATATTATAAAGAATTGGGTATTATTTTTGGAAGTCTACTGGAGATAAGTAAAGTTTCTTGATGAAAAAATATTGATTTTCTAGAATTCTATACATACCATTTCTACGAAAAATTTTGCTTCTCCTATATAAAACCAGCGACCGAAAACAAAATTTTAATATAAATTATGTCAACGAAAAACTTAAGACACGAACTTGCACAGAAAATGAAAAATGAACTTATCACGCTAATGATAAACAATCTAGAAGTTGAAATGATTCAGCATTCCTCTGGTTTAAAATTAATATTTCATTTCAACACGCAGTCGCCCCTCTCATTCTTACCGTTAAGTTCTCAAAACTTTTGTTCTCGTTTTGTTCTCTAGCAGGACGTCCCCCAGATTTTTGTTACTCTTTTATCCTCCTTGAAAACGTTCTCAATAGCATAGTTCTCATTGGAAACGTTGCCGAAAATTTCCTTCTCACTCTGCTCTTCTTGAGAACGCTGTTAAGAGTTTTGTTTTCATTTTGTTCTTTGTAAGAACGTTCCCGAGGGTTTTGTTCGCATTTTGTTCTCTATGGCAATGTTACCGAAACTTTTGTTCCAATTTTTTCTCCACTCAAACTGCTCACAATATTTGTAGCATTAAATTTTGTTCTCGTGCAGAACTAAACCAAAACCGGAATGCGTTCTCGGTCCCTGTATAAAATAACTACATGGAAAACTTTGAGCACTTTGAGCTTCGTACAAATATTTTTTGATTAAAAAAAAAAAGTGATATATTTTTTCGGTATAGAAAATCCTAGGCGGTAACAGCATTAAAATTCCGACTTTAGGTTTTGGGACCATCCTAATGTACATAACTACGTATGTATATAGGGGTATACACAGTTATAATCTTATGGCCTTATCCATAAAAAATAAAATAGGTTTAAGGACCCCTATAAAGTGATATTTTCATAAAAATTTCCAATTTATAAAGCAGCTAAAGCCTTCTTTATTTTTTATGAATTTGGGTGTTATTTTTTTATGATTTAAGTAATTTATCCAATACCTATGCACGGGCATTCGTTTTTGTTGTTGTTATTTACATACGCTTGTAAGCATTACAATATTTTAGATTATACGAGTACGTTTCTCTGTTTGCAAACGGAGAGTTTATGTACAAGTACCATATTTCGCCGATTTCCGTAATGTTGTTGCTATAAATAAAGAAAAAATGCTCTGAGCTATTTTGTTGCCTTTTTTAAGCATGCCTATTCCGTTTTCAGGAGGGTGTTTTCGGGTGTGTTTTTGCGTACAAAAAAATCTAGCAAAGCTGAGAAGTTTATTATGAAATATCTTAGAAAAACATCAACACGTTTTCTATTTGTTTTGAATGACCAATGTTCAGACAGACTGAATCAATTCTTGGCTATCGATTCATATCCTTGCCAAACCGAGTTTGTCGATTTTAACGAACTCGGCTTCAAAAAAGCTAGAAAAGGAGATAAATAATGCAAGAAAACGAAAGTCGTTAAATATTTGACGCTGTAAAATGGTCCAACTTATCCTAGTGGAAGTCGACTTCAGTGAGAATTAATAGATGGCAACGAAAAGCGCTGGAAGTTATCTTGTCTTCAATCGGAGTGTAATGCACACTTCGAATATTATTTGATTATTGATTATAGTATTCACATGCGTGCAGTTGCAATATTTTCCAAAATTTTGTTTCCGCCTGATATACGTATGTATATATCTCTACAGTTATCATTTGCATCTATAGTACAGTTCAGTATTTACAAAAGAAAAGTAAAAAAACATGAACAAACAACCTTCCTAGCGCTAGACTTCCGCTAATTTACAAATACTAAATCTACCATTGTTTTCCATTTGTCTTAAATTTTTTTCTACTTTGCCTAGTTAATTTAACTATCCATTTCCGGCTCCTCACTGAGCGTGTAAACTCCCAACGTCGCCTGTGGTCCGCTGCCGCTAACGATAGTTTCCAAACAAGACTGCGCAGATTCCTCCAAGAGCGGCGTATTTAAGGTTGACATACCCAAACCAGTTGGCATAATATTTGTTGGCGTAGTAGCAGTGGCTGTAGCGCTTGTGTACGGCGTCAAATTATTTAAAGTGGCACCACTGCCCTTCAGCAGATGTGTAGAGCTTGTTGACGAGCTATTTGGATCCATGGTGAGTATAGGTACGAGCTCGTGATTAATATATTCCTTCATTTGGTGCATTTGATTTAGATCTGTTTCCAGTTGAGCGCCATAGGTGAGTGAAGTGGGTGTGCCTGCGAATAAAAAAAATAAAAATACTTTTAATAATACCGGTTTCAGTTCAATTGAAGCAAAATTACTACTCACCCGATACCAGCGTCTCTTCGGTGGGATTACGTTTGTACAAACTTGTGCCCTTTTCATATTGTCAAGGCGGCATATAGTATCCCTGCTCCTCACTCATCGTATCCAATACGTTAGCACCTTTCTTGAATTCCACCACAATTTTGATGCGATGCACAATTTCCTCATGTATAACATTAAAACACATCGCTGTCAATGCCATGCCGGACATTATGTATATCGAACAAAACCATGTAGTTGCAGTGGACTCACGCCGTAACCCCGGTAGCATATCACCAAAACCGATTGTGGACAAACTCATGAAACAAAAGTAGATGCCATCGAGTATAGGCCAATCTTCTAGTCGATACAATACCACCGCACCGATTAGTATGTAAATAACCATCATCGAAAGACACAACAAAATTGGCGCCAATATACTTAGGCCATGCATTGAGCCACGTGATTCGCTGGCGCTTAGTGAATCGATATCAGGTGGCAGCATTTGTGTGCCACTACCCGCAAGGTTTGATTGTTTTTCGGTTGTTGGAAATGAGTCGTGTACAAAATATGGTTCCTGTAAGGCAGCCTGCTGTTTACGTAATTCCTCCTGTTGTCGCTTGCGTTTCATGCGCCGTTCTTTTTCGGCCATACGCTTTTCATCGTAACAACAATAGCCGCAATTTGAGCAAAGGCAACAGCACAGCGCTTTGGAGAACACTTCGCGTGCCACTTTCGCCAGAATGCCGCCGGTGCTGGAGAGATAAACGAGCGTAAGTGGTATGCCAAAAATGGCATAGACGAGCGTAACCAAACGGCCGAGTGTTGTGCGTGGTGCAATATTGCCATAGCCTGTGTGAAGAATATAGAAGAAATAAAAAGAAAAAATTTACGTGTTTGGTATAAGCAGGAATACGGTAAGGAATTATGTTAAGGCTAGTACAAAGTAAAATAGCTATAAATAAGTTTGAGAAGGTGAAAAAAGAGAACACAGTTACCCAGATGCAACTCTGCTCGGACATAGGAAATGTACTCTATCTGACGTTAAGTAACGAAATACAGTACATTTCGTATAGCTGCATTCGCACATCAGACCGTGCTCAGCCTAGTTTGACGCATGCTCCGGGCAACCCCTCCGGAGTTTATGGCGGACTCTGAATGTCTTACAACCATGAAGAGGTGAACGCCGATGGCTACCATTGTGAAGTGAAATTTTCATACGAAACCTGGTTTGCAAAACATTATTTTAGCGAAATGTACTGTAGTTATATAAAACTTAAGCCACTTTAATATTAGAAAATAGCTACCGACCCGTGAATATTCTCTATCTGCCTTTCAACCCCCCGGTATTTCTCGCTAGTGAAGCTGAGAAGCGTGAAAATAGGAATTTCTTCATCAAAGTTAAGCTCAATTTCAATGATTAATTAACCAGCAGTTTAAATTATGAGGGAATTTCGGGGCTATTTCTTCACCCAATAACGGGAATTGTTTCTGATGAAATCTGTGCAATATTATATAAAATTAGTTTTTTTTTAATCATTTGACCTATAAAAACAAAAAGATTATCTATATGAAAAGTTTTAGGCTTAAAAAAAAATCGAAAAAAAATGTAACGCACAATAATGATTAATAAAAAAAAATATGCCATAATTCATTAAAAATACAGAGGCGCTATTTTTTAAAATGTTATTGCATGAAAACTACCGTTGGGATTTTGATAATATTTTTTCCTGGAAGTTTATTATTTGGAAGAAGTTTCGGGGGTGGAAATATTACAGCAATGGATGGTTCTCGGAAATTTCGGTCATTTCCATAAAATTAAATTTTCTCAATAGAATTCAAATAGAAAAAAAAGACAAAGCGATTTTCGTAGAATTTAATATCATAATTATTTTTGTATGGGCCAATTAATTAATTTTTTAATGTATACTGAAGTGTGAATTTCAAATTGAACTTTTCCAGTTTTTTGCACCGGTTACCAGTTACTTATTTCAAATACCATTTTTTTTTTAAGTCGATCTTTAAAACTTTTTTTTGTCCGCTACCAGTTAAAACTCTACTCAAGAAGAGGGACATATTTTTTACCGACCACCAGCTATTTTTTTTCAAAAACCGTTGAAAATCTTTGAAATAGGGCTGGATGTAAAGCGGTCAAATTCGGACAAAAATGTTTAATTCATCTAAAATTTGATTCATGACAGATTCTAACGCTGAATATAACATGGCCGTAGCAGATAGCGCTACCAGTTAAAACTCTACTCAAAAATAAGAAAACAATTTTTTTGGAGCATTGCAAAAAATACCAGCTGTACCTTCACCGCATAGACTTTCTATTTTTCCTAAAAAAAAACTAATCGTGGTACAAATGAATATTAATTCGCCACAATAATATTGACAAATAGGTTTTTTAGTTGGCAAACCTGACTTAATTTCTAATTTTTTCAAAAGTGCTGGTTGTTCCCAATAGCATATTTAAACAAGCAATAAAGTTACAAAAAATTCCGTTTGAAAATAATTTTGGCAGATAACTTTTCCAAACATTGAGTTAATTTTACTTTATGCTTGAAGCAAATAAACTGGAGAAAGGCAGAAATGTAATTGCCTATTTAAAATGACTCTTTTGGTAATTTTCAAGACTCGGAGGACCACACCACCATTACCTCAAGCGCTTCATATTTAACAACCTCATATCAAGCTACTACACACACATATGTAAATGAAGGCTCCAAAAAATTGCACATCTTATACTTAAACGACATTGTACCAGCAAATAAACTGCCGATTGTATGCCAAAATTGAAGGCTTATCTGACTCATATTAAGCATTTTTTCATTACCCTCGATTGACAGATAAAACAATAAGATATTCATGAAATGGCATGCATATTGCGCTTGAATGCCTGAAATGTATCGTACGAAATGCCATTTGTGTTGTTTTAAATTACACTAATAACAGTAAAAATTTACAATATTGACTGATTGAATTCCGAAAGGGAGTGCAAAATTAAGTATGTAGATGAAAGGCTCCTCTTTTTATTGCATATATTTACCAGCACATATTGTTTTAACTTTCAAGCCGATTATTGAAAATTTCCATATGCCCCCTCTTTAACGCTTGTGAAGTGGCGGTTTTATTGCGAGCAAAAATGTACGTAAAGTTATAAAGTTACATGCTTGTATGTTATGGGAGTTGAATTCGTTTTAATAAGGCGAACAAGTTCTTAGGGTAAAAAGAAAGTCTTCAAAGTTGGAAATCGACCGAACACAGCGCCGATTGAAAATATATTTTCCAAAAGTATAAAGAAAGAACCAAAGGAGACATAAAAAAATCTAATGCTGGATTTCCACTAGGCATTAAATGGCAAAAATTGTAATGATAAAGTTTGGCAGTAAAAAATATTCGTGTCTTTACGTTAAAAAAAGTATCGTTTAGTTCATTTTCAGCTGGCATTTTTTAAATGGCGCCAATTTTTTGTCATTTTAATGCCTAGTGCAAATTCGTCTTATATTAAAATTTTGTATTCAAAAAATGTAATTTGGAAACGAACTAAATGATTTAACACGGCTACTTTCTAATGTTCTAATGTTGCTATTATACATTTTTTTAATTTAATGCTCAGTAAAAATCTGCCATTACAGTGCCGTCTGTCTGAATGCAAGACACAGTGGCCTCGAATCCCTGGATAATAGCTGAAGGTCCGATTTTAGACTGGCGAAAAAGAAGCATATTTTCGAGATCTAGGGACTTAAAAATGGCAACGAGAAAAATTTCATAGAATTTCATAGAAACGAATTTAGCATTTTGTTCTTTGGACTTGGTCAGTAAAGCTAAAAGAGTGGTAAATATCTCTAACACATTTTATTCAAATTGTATGTTCTTGGCTTAGATTATACTGATGTTGCTTTAAAATAAATCAAACATTTAAAAAAACTTTACTTTGTTAATCAAATTTTGCATTTATCCAAAACGCGCGGCTCGTTAAATGCTGGAAACTTTTGCCATGTCCAGCCAGCATGTTTCCACCAAACCCGAAATTATAAAACCAACAGAACACGTTAGAAACGTTGTCCTTCTTTCTTTATCTTCAAACAAGTCCGCGCGTTCTACTGCTCTTTACAACAAACTCGGCTAGGTGCTTCTACGAGGATGATAAGAGCCCACGTGCAGAAGTAAGTAAGCAGCTAACTACATATAATATTAATCTCCTGCAGATATGTCTACTACTTACCAAGTCATTTTCCTAAGAAACGTTCAATGGATACCTATTTTAATCATCTCGCATATATACAAAAGAAAAGAAGAAGCTAATTCGCAAACTGAAGGTCCTACATTCTTTTTTTTTGTTACTTGCAGTGGAAATGTTTATTGCTAGTTTTTTCTTTTGGACATTTTCATAGCTGTAAAGCTTGGCTCAAAAGTCATGAAGTACAAAGTCACAATGACAGGGCTGATGCGCCTGTGCATATGCTTTGCATTTCATTTATTGGCAAATTAGTTACAACTACAACAAACACCAATATATACATACATACATATATGTATATACATTAGACTACATCACTCCCCATACAAAAAAAAAAAATTGGTACTGTGTTTCCATTGGAATTATAAAATCTATTATATTTTAAGACGTCCACCAAAATATTTAGGAAAAATATTGAGATTTACGTGAGCTGGACCGATTTGAAAACACCTCCAAAAATAAAGTTTTTATGAATAAAAATAGTTTCTTAAAGATTTTTTTTTTAAAAAAATCCACTCAAATGAAAATACGGTTTAAGCCTAAAAAATTTACATAAAAAATTAAAAAAAAAAAATCTGAACACGAATGATTTTTTTTTAGCACATAAAAAAAATAGTGGGAAAATACCATTCTCCCGAGATCCCACAAGTCTAAATCAGAATAGTTTTGGCCCAGTTATTCTATTCAAGTTCAGTACAATTCCGTTGAAAAGATTTTTAAATATTTTTCTGCAGATTTTTTAAGCTTAATTTGTTTTGACATCTGAGGGGACTTTTTTCAAAAAGTTCTTTAAGAAGCTATTTTTATTCATAAAAAACTCCATTTTTGGAGGTATTTTGAAATCGGTCCAGAACACGTAAATCTTAATATTTTTCCGAAATATTTTGGTGAATGTCTTAAAATATAATAAATTTTGTAATCCCGGTGGAAAAACCGCAACTTTTTTTGGTGATGCAGTCTAATATACATATGTACATACATACATATATGGGACAGTGTATATTGGAACACGCGGCTATAAAACTACCACACCAATACAAATACACACCAGCTAAAACAAATAAACTCGTGCTATATGTTATACTTGTTAAGCTGTGGAATTGCCGCAAAGCATTGCGTATAAGAATTGATGAAAAATAATTTTTGTTTCGTCATTCAGTTTATTTCGGAAGCTAACATAGCAAATTGGCATAATGTATGCAGATGTAGAGCCTTTTAAGCTACAACAAGCAATATTGGGTATTGTATTCTCGTATGTATGTATATACATGCAACGTTTCTTGCAATTGTTTTTGTGCCATTGGAGAAAATTTGCAAATTGAAAGAAAAGTAGTGCAGAAACGGAAAATTTCTGCTGATATTGGCAATTTGCAAATATATTATGAAGATTCTTTATTGTTTTTTGCGTACACGCATTGTTCCTTCGGTTGGCTTTCAACAGCAAGCATTGTTGTTGTCTTTATGTTGTCTGCTCGCATGACTTCTGTTCCTATCGCAAGGAGTGTGCGTGTATATGTAGTTTAAGTAGTATTTATATATGTACATACATATATGCAAGTGAGTGTGCCGAGAAGCTGTACGCACTCACACAAACATTCATATGTACATAGGTATATACTATATAAATAGTACGGCATAAACATTCATATAGTATTCTATTTATACTCGAGTCTAACTGCGCTGCTCCATTATTGGCCATTATTGTCATTGGCACAAATGAAAATTTACGATACTTCCCGCTGTGCATGTGGGTGTATGTGCATGTATAAATGATGCTTTTGCACATTTCTTCTGCTTAAGAGTGTTGATATGTCGTATGTATTATCTACAACATTTATAGTATTCCAGATAAACTTCCTAAAGATTGTTGATTATGGGCATGAGAATGTTCTTCTGTGATGGTGTAAGAAACTGGCATTGAAAGAAGGTCTAGCATGAAAATTGGCAACAACTTTCAATGAGACTAGAAAAATTTTTACTAAAATTAGCAGAATACTTTTGCGGCTTTAGCTTTCCACTAAGAGGCGAAATCTCCTTTCTAAAATAATTTCCCGGCGCTGGAAACCCACATGGAAGCCCATAACTTTTTAATAAAGCCATAGAAGGTTACACTACTTAATTCGAGGGAATCATTGGGGCATTGAGGACCACTACATGCCTGCCTTTGGCATGATGTTTATCACAGCGCCGATCGACTTCGTTGGTAAGGCTGCTGCAGTCAGATTTAGGCTCAGAGCCGATTCAAAGTCTAAGCACTCTAATATTTTTGGAGGCTTCAATTTTATCACCGATAATACATGGAACACTGCTTGGCTAGATTGCCTCAAATAAGCTCCTCTGCCTCCAATTAAACAGCCCATTCTCTCCCCACATTCCTTCCACGGATGAGTAGTCGGGAGACGTTTGTTGTATGAAGGCATTCCTGAACAACTTCTACACGCACGGCTCGATGTTTAACGTGTAGGTCGGTGGAGGCATCTTTTGCGGGAAACTCTCCATCAACAATTATCCAATTTGGCTTTTTGATTACAGTAATATTTTTTTGGCAAAGGTAACTGCCACTATGAGGCCAGTCAATAAGATGTTAGTTTGCGCGACGTCGACAAAAACAGCAATCAACGCCTGGAGTTTGCTCACAGTGCGCTCAAAGCTACCTAGGGAATGTTTGACCTCTCTTAAGATCACGACTAAGTTTTTTTAATCAGGAAACAGTGACGTTGCTGGAAACTGTGTGGCAGCTGATGTGCACCTTCAAGTCGGACTCATTGAGAAAAAGAGTAGTGCGAGTAGTTACTTTCTGAGAGATGGGCCTCGTGTCAGTTAAATGAATGCTGGGCGAAAACTAGGACCTATACTACTGTAAGGTATTTTTGACCAAGGATGGTCAAAAGGCAGCTTCAGTTGACACAGTCGCAAGTTTTAATTATGTTAGCTATATTGACAGGAGAATCATCCCAATTTTTTCTTTTAATTCGCCCAGCTTTTGAAAAGCTACAGTCTAAACGCCTGGGATCATATTTTATGTTCTATAATCATAATTATGTAAATTTTTTTAAATTTAATTAAATTTATATTTTTTTTTGAATTTTTTTTATTTTATTTACTTTAAAATAAATTTTTTTTATTTGTGGATATATATTTTAATTTACTTAATTTTCTTGGTGCTTTATATTTTCGTGTTTTTAAATTTTGATTCTAACACTAACATATGTGTAAACGCCAATATATTATTATTAGATATTATTGTTTTAAATACGTTTTTTTTAACATTTTCAATTTTAAATTTGTTTTGCATTATTTAATTTCTATTTAATTTAATTTTATTTTATTTAACTTTACATTTAGTTACATTGTGTTAATTTATTTTAGTTAAAACGTTTTTTCTTTATTTAATTTTGTTATTTATTTTTTTCATATTCACATTTATTTATTTTTTAATTTATTTGATTAAATTGTGTTTTATTTTTTACATTGCTTTTCATTTTATTTTATGTTATTTTATTGTATTTTAATTTATGTAGTTTATTTTTATTATGCTATTTAAGTCTACTTTATGGAGTGTATTTTTTTAAGTTTATTTTTAAAATTGTGTTTTTATTTATTCTATTTGAGTATATTTTATTTTGTTGTTTTAATCTTATTTTACTTTATTTGGCTGAATTTTTCTAGTATATTATATTTTTTCATTTAATTAAATTTTTAAAGCTTTTTTTTTATTAATTTTTAAGTTTTTTTTCTAATTTGGGGCTTATTTGCTTTACTTTATTTCCCTTTTTTAAATTATTATGTAAGAACTAAATCTCTCAATATAATAATTCAATTAAAAGCCGTTAATATATTTTTTAATATAATTTATTCCAATATTCAAGAAAAAGCTTCTTTCTCCAAGTCTTTTCTTTTTCTGAAGTATCTCAAAGAATCAAAATTCTTTGTACAAGTAATTTGTTCTTTTCTTTATTACAAAGAAGTGCAAATGCTACAGTAGTACAGTTACAGTGCCACAATTATTGGATTTTTTTTTAAATTTATTTATTGATTAAATTTTGATTTATTTTACATTTCGTCATTCTATTGTTTTTTAGTTTTTATTTTAACGACTTAATTTTCAAAGTTTATTAATTTTTTAACTTTATTTTGTGTTTTTAAAATTTAATTTTTTAATGTTTTTTTCAAATTTCCACAGCAATACTTACCAATCGTCGTTAGCACCGTTAGTGAGTAGAGAAACGCTTTGGCGAAATTCCATTCATGCGGCCCGTTGCCATGTCCATATTGACCGCCATGTGTGTGCAGGAGTACAGCTTCCGTGGCTGGACTATTACCAGCAATCGCTGCGCCACTACCGCTCGCACCAGCCAGGCCGCCATCCATTTCATGTGATAATTGCAATAGCGCATCCTCATTCAGTCTCTTGATTAATTGGTCTTGAAATTTGGCAATCTCCAGCGCAGCTAGCCTGCAAGTAGGCAGGGAAATGAGAATGGAAAAAGAAAGAAAAAAGATGGAAATTAATGAGAACAAGAAATATGCAGGTAGGTTGCAGTCGCAGTAAAATTAAGTACTTGAACATATACTTTGGGGAAAAGAGTTAATTGGGTAAAAATTTGATTTGTTTATACATATGTATGCACATACTATCCTGGCGTATGATATACATATGTAGATATATGAATAAAACTCATTACTCCACTTCGCATCTTACAGGTTACCTTTGTTTAATATTCAAAATAGTCTGGAAGACTAAATGAATTCGCAAACATTTAAAACTAATATCAATTAAAGTTTTTTACTTGGGTTACTTCGGTTTCCAGTTTAATACAACTTTGCAAGAACATAAACAATGAAATTGAATCAAAATAAATTTGTTAAACTCTCACATTCTCTATAGCAATAGAAACTTAATTAAATTAAAATTAAATTACTATATTTGATGCAAACGATTTCAGCGATATTGAGCATTACAAACAGCCAAGCTGAGATAGATGCAGCGGTGGCGTAACAATGCCACAACTTTTCCATAGAAAACAATAATAATTTAATATTTTCAAAAACATAGCAAAATACTTGCATCAGTACAAAATATTTTAGAAATTTCCTGTAATGAAAAGTGCAAACCTGGAAATATTACTCGTAAGCACTGCTACACGTGTGGCAGCGAAAGAAAATGCCAGAAAAATTATGCGAAATATTTGATGCAAATTTCTAATCTACTCGTGATTCCATGTATGTATATATACACTACAATTCTGCTCTTAATAAATAAATAGATAACAGATGCAACTACATACAGTGGTGGTCACGAATTTAGCACACCTGCATTTTTTTGCAATGTGCATAATGCTATACGTGATCATTTTTTTCGTAAATTTTTTGTATAAAACTATAATTTAGTCTATAGCATAAATCCGTCAATGTCTAAAACTTTGTACGAAATTAAAAAAAAAAAAATTATCATACAAAATTTCGAATTTTTTGATATGCAGCCATATAGCCTAAAACTAATTTTACTGTAATGAGCAAGTTTAAAGCGGTTAAAATCACTGTTAATTTTTATTATTTTTTTTCTCCACCAGCGCATTCTGGCGGGTAAATTTTTTGTAAAATAATTTATTTATCATACGCGTAAGTTTTTCGTATAACCTATATAGCAAGTGTATATTCCAAAAAGGAACAAAATCGCACTACACACAGGGATTCTCTATATATCTCTACCCTAGTGCCACCTACTGAGTTATTCGGTAGCTCATGTTGAGACCAGAGAGAGAATCATACCGTTTGAACACTTTATCGAAATAGTTTTTGAGTCAAAATATTAAAAAGAAATCAGCTATGTGTTTACATATCGTCCTCTCAGCAAACGGATGACGAATGTGCAAAATCACGATTTTGGGATTTTGATGCAGATTTACTAAGTTGGACATGCTCTTTCGATTTCTGTAATCCATTTTTTTATATCTCCATTAGTTTTTGAGATATTTCGTGCGCATTTTGTTGTATGTTACATAATATTAATGATTGGGTATGCCTTTTGTTGTATGTGCTGAAAATGCGTCACATACGACAAATTCCCATACAAACGTACCTTTTTTTTAATCATAAAACGCTTGTCGTATGTGGCACATACGACAAATTCCCATACAAATGTAATCCTTTTTTAATCATAAAACATTTGTCGTATGTATCGCAAAACTTTGAACTTACGACAATTGGATGGTCCTCTACTATAACGATACAATTAAAATTGAAAATTAAACTAAGTAACTAATTTTAAAATTTTAAATTTTTAAATTTTAGCTTGCACTGAGTCTCCAATGAAATGAAAGAGATAAAAATGTACAAAAGACTGAATTTAAGTATTGTTTTTTGTTTTTATATAAAGAAAACGTATGTTCGTAACATATTTACAGCATAAGAGATGTACAGATTTTTTTTATTAAATACATGATTATGTTTTTGTTATGTTTTTTCTAATAAGTAATCATTATTTAATAAATATGTCTGTTTTTTTCATCAAATTATACCATCGTCGTTGAAATAGATACTTTACTATTGTCGTATGTTCTGTGGACAAAACAAAGTGGTGAGTAAACGCTACTTACGACAAATGTATACGGAATGAAAAGTAAATTTTCTCATTAACGTTAAGAGATATTAAATGTAAAAATATGGGAAATCAAAACTAATAACACCAACTACGTCTCCTTCAAAAGTTACAAAAATCTACCGTACAGTTTCGGATTAATTCGACCTTAAACTTCAAAGTCAATTTTCTCAAAACCGTGTTTTGTAACATTCGACATCCGTTTTCTGAGACGACGATATGTATGTATGTAAATTAGGGTGGTAAACAAAGTAAAGTCGGCATTTTAATGGGGTATACTACTGATTTTTGGTTCAATTAACCGGGAATCAATTAACCGATACTCGTTTAATTGAACAGTTCGTTCAATTACAGAAATCCCTTTTAATTGGGCAACCGAATCAATTAAAAGAAAATAAATATGTATGTGTATTTTAAGTTCAGTGGTCGTCCAATTTAACAAATCTTATGTCGTATGCCGCTTTCATACAGATTTTCGTCACCAATAAAAATATGGTTTCAATTTTTTAGCAGAGATGCCAACTAATATTTATCAAAAACACGAAAATACGAAATATGTATGTGCGGTAATGCCAGATTATTTTCTTAACGACAACTTTTTGAGCAATTAATCGGGGAAAATTAAGGGTATATTTCTTTTCGATAACACATATTTTTAGCCAATTATGCGGGGAAATCAATTAAGCACGTAAATTGACTTGTATTTTGTATGCAATATGAACTCAATTAAGCGAAGCTCAATTAAGCGGGGAATACTGTAGAACAATCCTAGGGGGTGAGAGCATTAAAATTCCAACTTTACTCTTTTTGGACCACCCTAATGTACATACTATAATTTCTGTACAATTTAAGTAAATTTAACTTTTCAAAGTTGTGGCAACCCTGGTAAAAATTATTTTCTAACTGAAACGTTATTAAATCTTTTTCGTCTTACATTACCATACATTTTTACTTGCACTTGTGTGCAAGGGTATATTAATTTTGTTCACATAACGGTTGTTTTGTAACAGGCAAAACGAATCGAGATAGATATAGACAAATGTTTACATAAATGATCAGGATGAAAAGAGAAATCGATTAAGTGGTGACTGTCTGTCCGTCCGTCTGTGCACACGATTACTCGAGTAAAAATTAAGATATCTTAACGAAACTTGATACGTGTACTTTTTTAGGGCGTAGCACGAATGGTATTGAAAATGGGAAAAATTCGACAATAACCACGCCTACCTCCCATATAATGGTAATTTTCAGAAATACGAAAACTGTGATATTTTAGTAACTACTGATGATTATTCACTCAAAATTGATGTTTACAATAATTTTAAGACGAAAAATAAGAATATTATAAATTTTTGAAAAATGGGCGTAGTCACGCCCACTTATGGTTACATGTGTATATCTTGGCAACCGCTGCACCGATTTCTTCCAAACTAGGCACACCTACCTACCTACTAGGCCTACCAAATGGCCGAAAATTTTTAAAATCGGACAATAACCACGCCCACATTCCGTATAAGGCTAATTTAGAGAAATACGAAATCTTCGACAAATCAGTAAATATTAAAGCTAATTTATTCAAAATTGACGCTTACAACAATTCTTTACCAAGAAATACGTTTATGATAAAAGTTTGGAAAATGAGCGTGGCACCGCCCACTTATGATCACATATATGTATCTCGGTAACCGTTTGTACCAATTTGTAACCAATTTGTAACAAACTCGGTAGGGTTATTGTGCTTGCCACATAAAAGAAAAACGTTCACGTAAATTTTAGAAATGCTTGAAACTTCAATATTTCTAAATTTAAGGACGCTAATTTACTCAAAATTGATACACCCAGGCTTACCATCTAGCTGTAGCTTACGGAAAGGTGAAAAACATATATTTAATATTTGCGCCGGGTATTTAATGTTCGGCTCCACCCGAACTTAGACTTTCTTACTTGTTAAATTAGCTGATGATTTAAGTTGAATTTGATTTTTTAGACAAATGGCAACCCTCCTAAATATAGACTAGAAATAAAACAATTTCAAACCCATTTCGATTGGTACCCCTCTATTTAAACAAAAAACCTAAAAATATTTTAAATGTTGAAAAAAAGATTTCTTTTTGCATATTTTAATATTTCATATAACTTGTGTATAATTTAATTTAATACAACTGTTCAAACATGTGGCAATTCTCATTACAATATTTTAGAACTTAAGCTTCTTTGTCTGGCATTCATGCTGTGATTCATATTTCAAATTACCTTTTCTCTTAATTCAAGTGGGATTTGGCTTTTTAAACAGGTGGCAACCCTCCTACATATAGAATAGAAATAAAATCTTCTAAACCCTCTTTCGATTGATATTCATCTTTATACAAAAAAACTACTATAAGGGCCTAGAGGGAAGCCTTTTTCTTAAAATTTCAGACCTTTTTTTTAAATTGCAATTGCTTAGTTTTTATTCATAAGGCCCTATATTTCATAGTTTTTTTCTTCTTAATAGTTATTTTTTAAGTTTCGAAATTTTAATGTATCACGTCACATTAAATTAAAAATACTAAATCAAATACCCATCATTTCATCTATTTTCCCTACTACACATAATAAATCATAATTCACAAAAATCTCCGCTTCTCACTTACTTTGTCCAATTCTCCTTGTAGAGTATATTCAGTGACACCGTTATATCCCAGATATTCTCAATGGTGCGTTGTCGTACTTCCTGTGTGTCCGCCGACAGCGCCAAGTGCGCCGAAGTGACGCCATCACCGCTCAACTCATCACCATAACTAAAATCCCCAGCGCCCGGGTCGCCATTCTCATCGCTCAATGGTACAATACCCTCCAGCATGGCATTGGGAACAGAAGAAGAATCAGCATTTGACGTAGAAGAATACGTAGCGCCAGATAATGATGCAGATGAGGAGGCCAAGGAAGCTGAGGAGGAGGAGGAGGAGGTGGCGAGTGAGGAGTATGCGGCTAGTGACGATAACGCTGTGCCATTGTCCAGATGCGTTTGTTCGGGTGAAGTGTGATAAATATTTTCCACATTACCGCCACTGCCACTACCACGTTTGGTTGATGCAAGTGTACGTTGCTGTTGTTGTTGTTGTTGTTGTTGTTGGTGCTGTTGCTGCTGGCGTTGTCGTTGCAGCACTGCATGATGACTATGATGGTGATGATGGTGATGCAGGAACGTTGAGTCTTCGCTCTCGATTGTTAGAAATATGAATGAACCTGTGTGAATGACAATAGAAAAAGAGGTGGGGGAAATGTGTAAAAATGCTGTAGCTAATGCTGTTATTGTTGTTGTTGTTGTTGTTGATGATAAGGGAAATGAAGATGTATTCCCGGTATGCATAACTTATGTACGTACATACATACATACGCCCCCTTTACCACTTTACCTTAGCATAAAGTGTTGGTGCTAAGTGTATTGTGTAGAAATGCAAGGGTTCGACTTTAACGTTTTTTCTTCCTAGCGATAATGAGGGTCCAAACGGAAGCGCCAAGTGTTCGTTGTGGAATATTCACTTGAATAGTTCGCATAAGAGTATTTTCTTGGTATTGTTGTTGTGATTTTTTTCTGGTTCTTTTCGTGTTTACTTGCTGCGCTAAGAACTATTGTATGGCGTCCTAGTTGGCTTTAGTAATCTGCAAATAAGGACTAATGCTTGCTTAGGTGGGCGCACAGTGGGTTGAACGAGATGAAACTTTGTGAATAAAAAATAAATTTGCAGCGACCAGGTTTCCCGTTTACGGGAAGTGATAACAGTTGTCCCCAAATTAATTGGGAGTTTCGTAAAGATCATGACCATAATTTCAGCTTCAAGCTGATAACTTGCCATACGTAAGGAAGCTGAGCTAAATGGCAACCAGAACCTTTTGCGCAACCTCGGTTTGCTCAAAGCTAGTTGTCGAACGCTTGACATCTCTTTCAGTCGCACCTCAATGTTTCCATATCAGACTTAAATGTAAGGGTGCTGGCCACAGTGGTACTGCAGAAAACTTCGTGATGGGTGAGGGAGGTCACGAAAGGCATCATCAAGTAACTCCCACTGAGTAAAGGATGAGTGGGAGTACATCCGATTACATGTGTATTACTCTTGGATAGCTGGACCTCGTTTTAGCTGAGAGAACGCTGGACGTATATCAGGCATGTACTAATGAAAGATTCTACAGGTCGAGCATGGATCGAAGGCGGTCAATAGGCTCAATACTTGTTTTTAATACCCAGAAAGAACGCGGTGTTAACAACTTATATCACACTTTTTAACCAAGCCAAGTACCTCTATGAGGCCGACATTTTCCGGCTTTAAAATTTCCTTCTTGAAAGGCAGAATTTGTCGCTAAAGCCTTACAGTTATTGTTTGTAATTGGTATGAGAAAGGACAAGTGCTTAGGTATGTTCAAAATATGTTTCCCGTTCGGGGCAACTACTTTGATCTAACCTAAAAAGCCAAGGCTTATTGTTTAAGCTCCATGTCTGAGGCCAACTCCTCTCGCTATGCGGACATACAGATAACAACCCCGCGCATCATGGCTCAAATTACACCCCATTGCGAAGAAGAAGACCCCTTGAAAAGATGGTCGACAGAACCCACTTGTTGGATGATTCGACAAATCTGCCTTAGCTTTCACAAGAAAAGTTTTGACTCACTCAATTGTCTTAAAAGTTCTCTACTTAGGCAAGTTACTTAAATTAATGGGCCTGCCGACCACTAAAATCCTTCGGAGCTGTCATGACGAGGAAAAAATTAAACGCTTTGAGCACTGCTCTGCCCTATACAGGACTAGAATAATATAACTCGCATAACCATTATATTTCTATATAGTGTGGCCGCTGAAACGTCAGCCGCAATTTATGCATGTGTTTCTGCATGCATATACAACGTAATTTAACACCCACTAGTATGGTGCAATATAATTAGGTCGAGGAGTCAGGTTTGCTTCTCCTCTTCTCTACTGGATGCAGGCAGCCAATATAACCTTGCCTAACCTATAAGATAGAAAAAGGTTAATCTTTTAAATGTGAATTGCATATTCCTTCTATATTGAGCTTTGGTATGAGCACTGCCGTGTACTGTCTATGTGACGTTCGAGCAACCAATGTCTTTAAAACGATGTCGAACGACGGGTCACGACCCTTGAAATAGTTGAAATGCTACAACTGAACATTCTTGTGGATGAAACAATTCTATACATAACAACAAGTAAGAAGGATGAAGGCAAAAATGAATCCAGAACCTAGAGGAGAAAGCTTTGTACCACTGAAAGTAGGGTAAGGTCGATGGAATGCATCAACGAAGGCCAGGCTACTGAAGTCATCTTATTCGATTCGCCAATTGCGATATATTCGCTACGTGCGACATCGTCAGAGACATGTTTTTTCTGAGATTGCAAAGATTTGAAGCAAAGATAAATAACTTAAAACAGCTGGGTCAGTTTTAAAACCGAATGCAATTAAAGTTGAAAACTTCAGAAAGCCGCAGAGCTGAAAGGTGCGGAAGTAGCGGTGACTAAATCGCTATATTCAGAAATTCCGTGAGAAGCCTGCTCTCAGTATGCAATGGCTCATGAGCTGACAGGCAGCAAAATAACGACGTCTAAGATCAACCTAAGCCATTTAAAGCAACTACATAGTTATTATAACCAAAGCTTTATTAAATCGTGTACGATCTCCTATTGCTCCTATTTAAGCTTCATAAGTCCACTGTCCGTGCAAAGCCAACCAGCAACATACCTACAAACGTTAGTTGCTGTTACGCGAACAACAGCAGATAAACGTTGATGAGTTACTTATGCAGAGAGCTACATACATATACGTAAACATACGCATAAACGTACAAAATTTTTTATTTGTAAAGTAAATGGAGTCACCGACAACAAAGGCCACCAAGAAGGATTGTCACACTGGTGGCAGAACAACACCAACCAAACTCAAGTATTATAGAACTTGTAATGCCAAGCGTTCGAGAGTGGACTTGGCAAAAATGGTAGTTGCTGTAAAAAGTGTGGTCGCGTAGTAGAGCTAAGGAGAATCAAATAACCCCACGTGCTTTTGTAACTGTGAACATACATATGTATAAGTATATCAAAGTGTACAGATGTTGAGTGTTCACTTAAACTTTTAAAGCATGTCCGCACTCATTAAAGCGTACACCACACAATCAAAGTCTAACGGTTCTTGAAGTGCTTATAGTGGCAGAAGTAGTAAAAGAAGGAAACCTTGCGCTGCTGCTTGCGCGACCGCCTCTGTGTGTGTAGAGTTTAAAGTCCTTGTAAGTGTTAATTAACGCGGCAAGCGTGCGAAAGCGAGCACAAGTCCTTGAGACAACATAATCGCTATTGCTGCTTGGATGAATGCTAGGAACGGTGTGGACTGTATACTCTAAAGATTGCTAGTTGGTCAGTTTGTAAGTGTAGATTGGCTTGCTGATGTGTATCTACTTCTAAGACAAGCACTTGACATGTCCTTGCAATGTCGAACATTATTTGTTTTAATTTTCGCTCTCTCCCTCTCTATCTGTCGCCCTTTCTCTAACCGTTTTCTTGCTTTTTTGAAACTTTGTATCATTTAAAATAAATATTAAACGTTTTTACACTTCCATGCAGTCACTTTAATTGCTTCAAATGTCACGTATTTCTTTTAATGGCTTTGCTCTTGTCCAATGTTGCGCATTTGACTTAGTTTGCCGAAGTTATGTACTTCAAGTACAACAATTTGTAATTGGGAAGGAAAGTATTCCTGCAGCTGAACGATATACTCAATTAGTGGTAATTTGTATGCGCAGGAGATGAATTGCTGATAGTATAGGTGTGTGCGTGTGCGAATAAATTGCAGCTATGCTGGCCACTCAATGTGACCGTATGAATTTAAATAGAGATTTATGACTACAGTTATACAATATTTGTGGAGTTTTTACGTGTCTTAGCTGCTTGCTAGTGGGAGAGAAAACGAAATATTAAGGATTCAAACGACTAGCATATACTACATACATTTACACATCATCGTCATCGCAATCGTTATGGCTATCTAATATTATTTTATAATTTTTGTTGTAATTTAAAATTTTACTTTATTATAATTTGATTAATATTTTCGAAATTCAAAAAACAAATGTTTTATTTAATTTTATTCTATTATATTTTTCCGTCGTCGTTTAGTTTTTGTTATATCAATTATATAAATAGGCAATCATGTTTCCTTTACACCCCTTTTACGGCTAAACTGTACTTCTAAGGTAATAAACAATTATATATCATTAGAAAGGTATTTTGATGCTGATGTGCAGGCAATTTTTAAAATTTCAAATTAGTTTAAAATAGAGCGAAAAAATCAATTCAAAAGTCACACCAATACCAATGCCATACATGTACATGGTTGGGGCGGAAATGCCTCCTAAATGTATGCTTTAATATTGATACTGAATTACAGAAACGTGCTAAGCAGCAGTTTAGGAATAAGATGTATGTATGTATGTACATGAATAGATTAGCCTCAAACAAGGATGAGATAATTTTGAGTATGGAGAAGAAGAAAG